GTTAGCTAAACGAGTTTTAGAGCGAGTGATTCTCCCGGTTTGAATATCATTGTAGATTTGCTCGACGGGATGGTCTTTAGCAATTCTTGCTCGAACTCGTGAAAGCTTTTGCTTGGGTATTGGTTGAACATCTTCTTCATTTTGTTCTTTTCCTTCTTCTTGGTCTTCTTCATTATTGGCGTTGTCGTTCTCTTGTCGTGGTGGAGAAGGAGGTTGTTGACATTCTTGATGTACTTCCGCGTTTTCTTCATCTTGGTGTGTCCCGCTTGTGGATGCTTCCGTATCAACTCTTGGTTCACCTTGTCATGAAGTAGAAGCTTCCACTTGGACGGACGAGGTACTCTCCTTCACCTCCGTTGGACGAACCTTGCCAATAGACAAGTCTTGGATTGCTTCCGAGGGGTCTTTGTCTCCTACATCAATTGGCAATTGCTCTACTTGCGAGCCATTAGATTCATCAAACTTCACATCTACCGTCTCTTCAACCTTTCGGGTGAAATTGTTGTAGACACGGTATGTGTGAGAGTTTGAGCCATAACCAAGTAGAAAACCTTCATGAGACTTAGGAGTAAATTTAGAACGATGATGCTTATCAAGAATGTAACACTTTGAGCCGAATACTCGAAAGTATCCAACTTGGGGTTTGTTACCGGTGAGGAGCTCGTATGCCGTCTTGCCAAGTAGCTTGTGAAGATACAAGCGATTTGTTGCATGACAAGCTGTCTCAACCGCTTCTGCCCAAAAGTGCTTCGGCGTCTTGTACTCATCAAGCATCGTTCTCGCCATTTCGATGAGCGTCCGGTTCTTCCTCTCAACAACTCCATTTTGTTGAGGTGTGTACGTAGCCGAGAAATCGTGTGAAATTCCTTCTTCGTCAAAAAGGTGTCCACATTTGCGTTCTTGAACTCTGTTCTGTTATCGCTGTGAACCTTCTTGATCTTCACTTCTAACTGATTTTGAGCCTTCCTGGCAAAGTTTTTGAAGATCTTTTGGACCTGCGATTTGTCATTGAGAAAGAACACCCATGTAAATCTTGCAAAATCATCAACTATAACTAGACCAAAAGAATTTCCACCGAGACTTTTGTAAGCGTTGGGACCAAAAAGATCCATGCGAAGTAGCTCAAGTGGCCTCCTTGTGCTCATGATGTTCTTCACGGGATGCCTTCCTCCAACCTGTTTACCTGCTTGACAAGCACTGCAAAGTCTATCCTTATCAAATATGACATCGTTAACACCAAGGATATGATTCCCTTTAATAAGCTTGTCAAGGTTTCTCATGCCAACGTGACCTAACTGTCTATGCCATAACCAACCTTTAGAGGATTTAGCAATGAAGCAAGTTCTAGGTTGAGCCTTTTTAGTGAAATCAACAATGTAAAGATCACCTCTACGTATACCGGTAAAGACCATTTTATGATTGTCTCGATGAAACACTTGGCAATCTACTTCAGTAAATAGGACATTGAAACCAAAATCGGCAAGTCTAGATACTGAAAGTAAGTTGTAGCCAAGAGATTCAATGAGCATAACATTCTGAATTGAGCTATCATGTGAGATGGCCACCTTACCGAGGCCAACCACCTTACCCTTTGAGTTGTCACCGAAAGTGACATACTTTCGAGGACTATCATTTTCAGCAAGCTCACGAAACATGTATTTATTTCCGGTCATGTGATCGGTACATCCACTGTCAAGAACCCATTCCTTTCCTCCTGCCATATATCCCCGAAGGTTTGCCATAAGACCAAAGTGTCTCATCGCATCATCAAGATCAAAGTCATCATCATCATCCTCATCATAGTATCCATGTTCAACATCGTCATGTGGTGGATCAATTCCTAGTGAGGGTGATTCATTAGTATGATTTGACAATAATCTCCTCTATGAATTCTAGTAGCTTCGGAAATGATATCGCTAATAATTCCAACATTTCTTTTGGCACGCATAAGATTTGTAAGTTCAAATAGACAATTACCAAACATAGGATCATTCGAATTCATCTTACTCAAGGCAATAGACTTATGAAGAATTACATCCAGATTTTTCAGAGAATAATTAGGAAATCGTTCCTCAAGAAATTTCCATATAGTGTAGGCACACTCAAGAGTAGGCAAGTTTCTAATCAAGTTTCTAGGCAAGCCTCTAGTGATAAGATTAACAGTTCTAACATTTCTAATCATGTCAATCGACTCATCAAGGGTGGGATGCATAGGATCAACATAAGGTGCACAAGGACTAGCAATGTACTTGTTCAAATGATATTGATTGAAAATTACAAGCATCTCATTTTTCCACTCATGAAAACACTCTCCATCAAGTAAGGCACTCTATGTCTAAGACTCCCCAAAGTAGACTCATCCATCTTCCTCCAATGGTGATTAAACCAAAGCAATGGAGACCAAAGCTCTGATACCACTTGTAGGACCTTGAGAAGAAGTGTAAGTAAGTCTAGAGGGGGGGTGATTAGACTACTTGACTAATTAAAAATTAAGCCTTTTCCCAATTTTAGTTTTTGGCAGATTTTAGCAATCTTAGCACAAGTCAAGCAATCTTCACACAATTTAAGCAAGCATGCAAAGAGTATATGAGCAGCGAAAATTAAAGCATGCAACTTGCAAGAATGTAAAGGGAAGGGTTTGGAGATTTCAAACACAATTTGGAGACACGGTGATTTTTGAGCCGTGGTTCTGATAGGTGGTGCTATCATACATCCACGTTGATGGAGACTTCAACCCACGAAGGGTAACAGTTGCGCGAGTCCACGGAGGGCTCCACCCACGAAGAGTCCACGAAGAAGCAACCTTGTCTATCCCACCATGGCCGTCGCCCACGAAGGACTTGCCTCACTAGCGGTAGATCTTCACGAAGTAGGCGATCTCCTTGCCCTTACAAACTCCTTGGTTCAACTCCACAATCTTGTCGGGGGCTCCCTAGTGACACCTAGCCAATCTAGGAGACACCACTCTCCAAGAAGTAACAAATGGTGTGTTGATGATGAACTCCTTGCTCTTGTGCTTCAAATGATAGTCTCCCCAACACTCAACTCTCTCTTATAGGATTTGGATCTGGTGGAAAGAAGATTTGAGTGGAAAGCAACTTGGGGAAGGCTAGAGATCAAGATTCATATGGTAGGAATGGAGTATCTTGGCCTCAACACATGAGTAGGTAGTTCTCTCTCAGAAATGGTAAGTTGGAAGTGTAGGTTTGTTCTGATGGCTCTCTCCATGAATGAAGAGGGGGTGGAGGGGTATATATAGCATGCACACAAAATCTAACCGTTATACATAATTTACCAATCTCGGTGGGACCAAATCAACAAACTCGGTCAAACCGATTTAGTAAACAATGTGACCGTTAGGGTTTTCGGTGGGACCGACATGCAACTCGGTGGGACCGATATGGTTAGGGTTAGCGCATAACGTAATCTCGGTGAGACCGATTACACAAACTCGGTGAAACCGATTTTGGTAATTAGCTAACCAGAGAGTTGGTCAGGCAAACTCGGTGGGACCGATTACTCAAACTCGGTGGGACCGATTTGGGTAATAAGTTAACGAGAGAGTTTGCATTGTAATCTCGGTAGTACCGATTGCTCAAACTCGGTAAGACCGATTTTGATAATGGACATATACAGAGAGATTACAATCCCATCTCGGTGAGACCGAGATCCCTATCGGTGAGACCGATTTGCCTAGGGTTTGTGGCAGTGGCTATGACATCTGAACTCGGTGGCGCTGGATAGAAAGAATCGGTGGGGCCGAGTTTGACTTTAGGTTTAGGTCATATGCGGATGTGAGAAAGTAGTTGAGGGTTTTGGAGCATATCACTAAGCACTGTGGAGCAAGAAACTCATTAAGCAACACCTCATCCCTTCTTGATACTATTGGCTTTTCCTATAGACCCAATGTGATCTTGGATCACTAAAACATAAAATGCAGAGTCTTGATCTTGAAGCTTGACCCAATCCTTTATCCTTAGCATCTCGAACGGGTTCCACATCCTTTAGTCCATGCCACTCCATTGTTGAACTTGTCTAAAACATACTAGATAAAAGTGTTAGTCCAACAAGAGATATGTTGACATTAATTACCAAAACTACCCGGGGAGCACTTGTGCTTTCATAGCTGCCTCGCCGAAGGCGGTGCAGTCCGTCTGGCGTCCGAACGCGGTGGCAGACGCACAACCCCTCTGTTGGCGCGCCGAGCATCGAGACGCACCATGGGCCTCGTCCGACGAGAACATGGCACGGCACGCGCAACCCTTTGTTGGTGCACCGAGCATCGAGATGCACCATGGGCCTCGTCTGATGAGAACATGGCACGGCGTGCCTGCCATGCCAGGCACCGAGCGCGGGAGGCGGCGGCAGCCCTTGCGGCGATGGACGTTGACAAGGAGAAGTCACATTCTCCGACGCCCCGCATGGCGCATCAGTCGGGCGTCACAACTGCATCGTGGTGGACGTCCGCGGCTCGTCCCAGGACGGATCCGTCATCGATCTGACGTCCACGGCACCGTTCGAGATTCGAGCTCCGACGAGGAAGTGTAGGGCATGGGAGACGGCGGCGCCTTGAGTCCCGTGAGCCGGCTCGTGTCCCATGCCCTACTCTACCTTACCGGCGACCAGAGCAACACCCTGAGGGGCGCAGCTGGTCGCTAGACATGGCCAGAGCGGAGTCGGGCGAGCGGGGAACGGAACCGGACGAAGCTCTGTTGAAAGATCGTTGCGTTGCATGTAATAATATGAATTTGACGTTTTTAATTTAAAGTATCTAGATATAGAATGCGTTTTTGAGACGTGACGGCTCACTCTTGGCGGACGCGCGGGTATACGAGGGATCAGATTTGCAAGTCGGGCGGTAGACGCTCGAAGGTGAATTTCGCTCACCCAACCGTGTGGCCCCAGATACCAAAGCCCAGTCGGCCTGCACACTCTCTTCTAGTTTTCCTGTCAAAAGTTGAGAAAAAGAAAACTCCTCCCCTCGCCGTACCCCTATCCCGATGGCGATCGGCGGCGGCGGCGGAGGCGGGAGCTGGAGCATCCACGGCCGCCCGGATGTCACCTCCCGCTACGATGTCCTCGGACGCGCTGGCTCTGGCGCCTACGCCGACGTCTACCGCGGCCGTCGCCGCTCCGACGGCGCACCGGTTGCCCTCAAGGAGGTCCATGACGCTGTCAGCGCCCAGCGCGAGGTCGACGCCCTCCTCGCCGCCGCCTCTGAGTCCTCCCCTCATGTCATCACGCTCCTCGACCACTTCCCCGGTGGCGACCACGACGACGACGTCCTCGTCCTTGAGTGGCTCCCGCTCGACCTCGCCGCCGTCGTTCGCGAAGGGAGGCGCGCGGGCGGCCTCCCTGCCGGCCAGCTCAAGAGATGGATGCTGCAGGTCATCGAAGGCGTCGCCGCCTGCCACCGCGCCGGCCTCGTGCACCGCGACCTCAAGCCCGGAAACCTGCTCATCTCCGAGGACGGGGTCCTCAAGGTCGCGGACTTTGGTCAGGTTGAAATCCTGATAACGCTTTTCTCAGTTCGACGAATGACTTTCTTTTATGGATTCAGGCGTAGAGAATTGGTTCTCTTTCTGTAGTAGCATGTCAAAACTGTTAGGTTGAATGATTAGTCATGGACGTCGGCGGATAGTCTTTCCTCAATCGGCACTGAAATAGTGGTAAATGTTGATTTCTTCTTTGTTCTCGGTGGTTATACTATGGGGGCTCCTGCTGCAACATGGCAGTTCTAATGGTCTCCAACTCTCTGGGAATATAACAGGTGAGGAACCATTTTAGTTGCAATCTGTAGACATGACGAAGGATTTGATTATAGAATGATAACGTACGTGTAGAGCATGGAGCTGTTGTTCTTGAAGTTTCAGATATTTGTTGGTGCTAAATGGACCCCAAACTGCATGCCTTTTGTGGACTTTGCAGCTGCTGTGCTCCGACATGGAGGTTAACTATCTTGGAATTAAAATCATGCTTATAATGGCGAAATTGATAAGTTCTAAACAGTTGTTGGTCAGCAGTAGGGTTAAATATCTACAAATCTATATGATGGGTTAATGTATGGTGAGCTGTTGACTTTAAGGTAGTAGGGGAGATTTAGTTATTGAATTTGCCTAAATTACATCCTTACTTTATCAGACATACTTTGCTCTGTGTAGGAAACTAGGAATTGAAACCATAGATATAGAGCATGGGTTGGGCATCTTATGCCTACAATTTCTTTCATTGATCTTCCTTGGTCTTACATGCATGCAGTTTTATTATTTAAATACTCTACAATTTTGGTGTACAAGGACATCTAGCTGAATCAGAAATGTCATTTGTGTTTGTGCAATAAATTTTCTTGTCGGATTTTAGAGATTCTTCAAATGCTAGAGTTAGCTCAAAAGCTGGTGATGTTCATCATGTCAGCGAGGAAAGTGTTTGGCAGTGTGCTGCAGCATACCAGTATTATGTTCTGCTGTAAATTTTGGACATAACACGAAGTCATCTTTTCCTCTACATTCTTATGGTGTAGCTTTATATGTTGATGTTATGCTGAGGCATATCTGTACACTGTAACGACCCTTTCAGTTTGTGAGAGTTGCGACGAAGCCATATATTATAATTATTGACTATGCTTTAATGGACACTACCTTGCTTCCTTCTGAGATAGTAAATTATTTTGCATCAGTGTGGCTCCAACCATTAGGTGTATCATATTCTAAAACTTTTCGTATTTCATTAGGAGTGCTAAACCTTGTTTGAGGCTGGATCCTGTTCATGGATATGGTACTATGAATGACTTGCTGTAAAAGGTTCTTCTTTTACCATTTTCATGTTCATAGGGTTTAGTCTTTCTGTGCTAATTAAGTTAAGTTCTTCATATAATGTAATGTTCTGAAATTTTATACTGATTTATATTCACAATTTTAACTACAAGCTTTACGACAAATAAATTATTTTATCATAGCAGTAGCAATCCTCTTAACTCCGCCTATGTCTTCTAGGCATAGCCGGTCCCAAGCCCGGGTAAAGGAGGAGGGTTGTGATAGGCGTGGCGAGCCAACGTAAAAACTAGCCAGTCCCATAGGTATGAAACCCATTTGAGCGAGAGTAGTACTAGGATGGGTGACCTCCTGGGAAGTCCTCGTGAAAGGGTTTCATATCTAAGGGTTGTGATCGGCTTGGCGAGCCAACGTAAAAACTAGCCAGTCTTTTGGGTATGAAACCCATTTGGGTGAGAGTAGTACTAGGATGGGTGACCTCCTGGGAAGTCCTCATGAAAGGGTTTCATATCTAGCCTACCCCAACTTGTTTGGGATAAAAGGCTTCGTAAGTCAGTGTAAGTCAGCAGTAGCAATCCTCTTGCCAAGGGCAGTCATTTCTTGCGAAGGAACACATGAAGCATATATGTGGTCTATCATATAGTTGATCAACTTTGTCTCTTGTGCTTGTCGTATACCTGTACGCTATATACTCTGTACTGCTTTCAGTTGTTTGTATCACTTGTGTTGCTTTTCACAAATTATTTTGCTCTTTGTTCTTTGGCAGGCCAGGATTCTTCAAGAACAGCCATCTGATGAACCGGAAATTCCTGCTGCTCAGGAGCCAGAGACACTCACTGCAGCTGATTACCTACATGAGATTGACCAACTCCGGGCCAAGTCCACTTATGGAGATGTTGACAGAATGAGCCTTCAGGATGGAAACACCTCCTGTCTTGCCACTTGCAGCACAGCTGACATCGACGATGATCCATTTAGAGCCTCATATTCGTATGATGCTGAAGAAGACATCGGGGATGAAGAGTCTGGTGCCTTCACTTCTTGCGTTGGAACACGGTGGTTTAGAGCTCCTGAGCTCCTATATGGGTCAACCAGCTACGGCCAAGAGATCGACCTGTGGTCACTAGGATGCATTTTGGCTGAGCTTCTCAGTTTAGAGCCCATATTCCCAGGCCAATCTGATATTGACCAGATTGGTAGAATCATCGGAGTCCTCGGCAATATCACAGAAGAGTCCTTTCCTGGCTGTTCAAATTTACCCGATTACAACAAGATCTTCTTCAGCAAGGTTGAGAAGCCTACGGGCCTCAAAGCATCACTTCCTAACAGATCTGCCTCTGAGGTTAGCATAGTAAAGCGGCTACTTTGCTATGACCCAGCAAAGAGGGCTAGCGCTTCCGAATTGCTGAATGATCCGTACTTCACTGAAGAACCCTTACCCGTACCTACCGAGGCGCTACAAGTCCCGGCATCAAAGGGCGAGGACGATGACAGCTCTGCGGAAGAATGGGGTAATTACAGGGACGGCAATTCGGATTCGGACATTGACGAATTCGGCAGCATGGATGTCACCAAAACTGACAAGGGTTTTAGCATACGCTTTTAGCGATGAAGAAAGATGCCCACGGGAACAATATCTTTGTATTGAAACATTGTTGTATTCTCTGTCTGGAACATGTCGTTTGGGGAGTTTCGGTAAGTTGTAGTATCTCATAAACTGTGAGATTATGCACAGCAACCAGTATTCTCCTGGTGGAAAATAAAGTTGTACTGTACTAGCTATTGTAGTTCATATTGTATGTCCATGAGTTGGTGTAGGTCTGCCATTTACAGAACCTTCATTCGCTTCCTGACACAGATGGGTTCGTCTACAAGTGGATTTTGTGCAAGTTTTATGAAAATGGTGCTAATATCTACAATACGCACAAGATATACGTAATACAGAAGTACATTTTGCGATGAATCATATGTAACTAACTTGTAGTTCTAAATTATTAAGAAGGCTAAAAATCTGACGTCAGATTGTTTGTTTAAGATAGCTAACTGCTCATGCCTGAACGGTAAGTGTCAAACTTTTTAAAATTTGACCAACTCTGTAGGAAAAATAATCAATATATACTCCCTTCATCCGAAAATACTTGTCATCAAAATGGACAAAAAAGATGTATCTAGAACTAAAATACATCTAGATACACCCTCTTTTATTCATTTTGATGACAAGTATTTTCAGACGGAGGGAGTACAACATAGCAAACTTGCAAGCCTAGTGGAAAGTACACTGGTATTTCATTTCAGTTAAAGAGCAAACAAAATTGCCAGCCGTCCGATACCCAAACGGACGGACACGCGCCCGGAAGGCCGCGGAGCCTAAATAATCATGTGGCTGCACCTGCAACCCTATCTCAAACCCTGACCCCGTGCCCTGCCCCCGATGTCGAGCAGCCTCTTCCTCTGCTCTTCCCAGGTGCGCTATGCCAGCCTCCCGGCACCTCTCCGGCAGCCGGGCCGCCAAGCCGCCCGGCTGCCCCCAGCGGCTGCCGCGTTCGTCTCTCGCAGCCTTCATCGCCCTCCTCCCCTCCACTGGACCGGCTCGGGGGTTCGGATGATTTCTTCTTGCTTCGGTAAGTAGACCTTTGCTTGCTTGCTTGCTTCTTGGGTGGGTTCGTTCAAGGGGTTCTGCTCTGAGGACATGACATTTCTTATGGTGCGAGCAATCAAGTCCGAATCATGATGCCTCTCCATTCAGTTAGTTGCAGACACGTTTGCTCTGTATCTATCTGGGGCTCGAATCGGTTCGGTTGGTCCTCTTCCTCAGCGCGCAAGATCGATCTCGAGGTTCGATTAGGTGTGTCCCTGATCTTGCCTTGTAATTAAATGCAGTGGTCAAAAGAAGAAGGCGTAGGAATGGTATCTCCGCCTCTTTGTTTGGCGTTGGAGCTCCTGAAGCCCTGGTCATTGGAGTGGTCGCTTTGCTGGTTTTTGGCCCCAAGGGTCTAGCAGAGGTAAACCTTGCTCGGCCGGGGGCTTGCCTTCATTTCATTGTAGTAGTTGTTCACAGAATTGTCAGCAACAGCATCATCTTCTGAGTGCATAAAATATCTCAACCCCCAGGATGCACTGCCCTGATCAAATGACTATATTATCTGTTATACAGAGGATTTGATGATGTTTTCTACTTGTAGCTTTATTCAAGATAAACTATGTAACCATAGCTCCGTTAGCAAAATACGTTTAAAAATAAGTTCTCCTTTTTGCGACCAGTGGGAATCATAGTTGTCAATTAGAAATAAAATGGAAACATGGCCAGTATTTCACACTTGCAAACTTGTCTGCAGGCAGCCAGGAGTTTGGGGAAGACTCTGCGTGCGTTCCAACCGACTATCAGAGAGCTACAGGTTGGTTTGAGATTTACTTGCTGCTTTATGACTGAGGATTCCTTTAAGTAATGAAATCTAATTCTCTGCACTTAGGATGTATCAAGGGATTTCAAGAACACTCTTGAACGAGAAATCGGGCTTGATGAGGATCCCCCATCCATCAGTTATAGGCCTCCTCCACCTATGAATAATAGCCCACGGCCTGCTGTTGACCCAGGTCAGTTATTTCAATCCTTCTGAAGCTCTTTCAATGAAATGCTTCCCAATTTGTTTAAAGCACTCTTCTTTGAACGTATATGTTTGAAAATTATGCATGTCAGTCAAGCAACAGAAATTCCACCATATGTGTTTCTGATACAGTGATCCCTTGCAGTTGTTGATGCCAAGTTATGCTTGTTCATTAGCATTTTTTTTAGTCAGTTCTTCTTTTTTCATTATTATTTTTGCTAAATACCTAGTAACACATAACCTGCAGCCATTCATGTTTTAATGAAGTACTCCCTCTGTCCCAAAATAAGTGTTACTCTTCATCAAGTATACGTTTTGCCATGACTCGAGCTTAAGGCCCATGCTTTTCAGAGTTTTTTCACCTAGGCTGGTTGCTCTAAATTTTGTCAGAAAATGGTACCATATTTTTCTCAAATCAATTACTCAGCTTAAAAGATGGATTTACAACAGCCTACTGAATTTAAGATACTGTGCCACTGCCTTTTATTGCTTCTGCTTTTAGATGTCAAGCCTGAAACAACCGTGCCTTACACGAGCGAGGAACTCATGAAAGTAACCGAAGAGCAGCTTGCTGCATCCGCAATTGCTGCTTGGAATGCACAGCAACCTCCCACATCTGAACAGCAAGGTCTGTGATTTAATTTTGTAGTTTATTGAACTAGTTAGATGTATGGTAAATTGTTGTCAAAGCCAGAAACATTTGTGGGTCGGTTTATTGCAATATCCAAATTCAGGGAAACTTTTAAGTGTGTATTTGCTAGGTTATAATTACCTTATGATTAAATGGGCTGTAAACGCTGCAAAATAATAATAATTGGTCTGTACATTTTCTTTTCATACTAACCTGCTTACGCTACACCATATTTCAGAAGCAGCAGCAGCAACAACACCTTCTGAAAGTACTGACTCAGCATTATCAGGAGGGAGTGACGGTCCTAGTGCCGTGACGGAGGAGTCCACCTCAGGTAATACTGAAAATGCAAAGCCGAGAGACGAGGCATAATACTAAAAACAGAAAGTATGTTGTATGCGGACTAGAGGAAGGCGAAAGCTTTGGCGTCAATTGGTTGTAGAAAGAATGAAATAGTTTTGGTTTCCACTTGGTGAGCTGGGTTGGCCAAGTGATGGGTGATTCGAGGCTTCGATTAGTAGCGGCTTGGTCTGTTGAGGTGTGTAGCATGGAGAGATAGGTAGGTGATGCGAAACCGAGCTGTGCATATCTTGGTCCTCCTCCAGTATCTTGTTTCTGCCACGGCTGTTGTTACATGTCTGTACCATATTTTTGTGATTATGCAAGGTAAGCAGATAGATTTTTGAAGGGATGGGATATCCTTTTTCTTTCTTTCTTTCCATCATTAGGTGATTGTGTGCTAGTCTTGGTTGTTTCTGGCTATGCCTCTCAATTCTTACAGGAATTCAGAATGCAGGAGAATTTCATGAGAAGCTGGCAGGTTTTCTTCCTGAAAGGTAGGTTAAGAATATTGTCTCATGTTTGCTCGTATGTTGGAGGTAATCTTGTAAAGGTTGGGTCATTTCAGCTGCTAATTCCGAATCAATTGCTATGCTTCTGGTGTCTTCTCTGCCATGGTAGCGATCGTTGGCTCCTAACTAATTTTTTTTTAACAATCACTGGGCGGGGGTGATCCTCACGTGAATGCATCACTCAAAGAGCATGTAGACTATTGTTACATTAGTTTACACAATGAGAGGAGAGGTGCGGTGCCATGACATGGCAGCCTCTATACTAACGTGATCCTCAAACCTGAAGATCCAAAAAGTATAGTCTGAGATGATATTTCTAAGAGTATCGGAAGCCGAGAGTACTCATTGCCGAAAACACGACCACTGTGGGAGTCACAAATTTTCAACAAGATGGTATGCTAGATGTTGATGGCGAAGCCGATCGGTGTCAATCTGAGAATGGTTTCATACCTAAACCATATTTGAACCATACCCGTACATGTATCTCTCAAAACCATACTTGAACTATACCCGTTTAATGCCATTTTCAGCCCAACCAAAACTAAACCCTCTATTTTTTTCACCCAAACTAATTTAAACCCAATACATAACCGTGGGCTTAAACCCAATATGTAACTATGGGTTTGCTTCAATGTATATATAATTGCACAAATCGATATGTCAAGAAGCAAATGGCATAGAAAAGACATAAGTGCATCTACAATAGTTTGGGAACAAAGTTATCGTTGAGATATGGTCAACACACAACAAGTGTCAAAAAGACAACGCCCACGACTGAAAAGCTCACTGGCAAGTGCATTAAAACCAATTGCTTAGCTAAAGCACAAGCAGACACATTCAATTTGCATGTGTTGATTCCTCATAATACATAATTACACAGTGCATCACATCATGTACGCGGATCAAAGATACTCGTTGACGATTTGTCGTTGCTTATTGCACATAACCAATGCCCTAAAACCGGTTTGGACCCATAGTTTACAACCGTTAATAACCAAACTGTTTAAGCCCATAACCAACTATGCCCAAATTGGATTCTTCACAGACCCAAACCAAAACCAAACTAAAAAAGATTCGGCCCAATAAAACCTGAACCAATCAAACCCAAAGTAAGAACCGAACCGTTTCACCCAGTTTTTTAATAACCATTTCCAGGTTTAGATCGGTGTGAGGGCGTCCCAAATGCGGTCGATGGAGGTGGGGACGGTGAGGCCGAGAAGTAGCCACACTTGCGTACCTTCGAGACACGTGAGAACTAGGTGGAGTGCGTCCTCGCGGTGGTGATCACACCACGGGCAAGATGAGTCGGAGGAGATGGCGTTGTGGAGAAAGTTCGCCTTAGTGTTCAACCTGTCTCGAAATAGAAGCCAACCATAATTTTGACCTTGATGGGGGTCAACGAGCTCTAAATGTAGCCAGGGTTGATGTCAACCTGGGAGCCGAGGGATAACCGTGAGTAAGTGCACCTAGAGGAGAACGAAGTCCCACGAATGAGGAGCCTATCGTCCGGAGCGTCATT